ACGGGCAGAAGCAGGGCTTGTCGTTCAGCTGCGCAGGGCTGTGGGGCTTGTATGTTACTTACTACCACAAGTATAATGTTGAGGTATGCCCAGAAAAAACGTTTATAGCCCCGGCCTGTATTAGAGACCGGCCATTATTTACCTCCTCTGACAGCGCGACCGGCCAATGTTAGAGTCCCGGCCGCTAATGGAATACAGGCCAATATTAGAGAATTTACGGTAACTTAATTTGAGAAATTTTTACTTATTTCTAGATCTTTTTTCCAGCGTATGTGAACACGGTAAGCTTGTACACTGGAAAAACAATCTAGAAATAAGTGGAAAATTTCTTAAATCAAGTGTATTTACCCTTAATTTGAATAGGTAAATGAGATGATTTGCCAATGGAATCAGTATTTTTACTCTTACAATAAGATAATTAGATAATATGCAACTGAGTTTTCTTATTTTAACTGCAAATTGTCTTGTTCCATTGGCAAAATGTCTCTTTCACCTCCTCAATCAACAACAAATGCACTTATTTTAAGAAAAACTGACTTATCTAGAGCTCGATTTTTTTCCATACGAGTTATGAGATCAGCACATTTTAAACTGGGCGTGCACCAGGAGAAATGGGCTTGTATGCCTCTTGCATGCGTACTTTGTGTTTCACCGGAGAGGGCGGGTCTTTTAAAAAATCCTCCACAATACCTTTCATATGTTATAGTGTGATGAGCTATATTTTTAAATCTCTTTAGAAAATATCCATGTTATAATAATTTTAAGTATTTCTTCAGTTCTAAGTGTGAGTAATATGGTATTAATGTGGATGATGGAATTGATCCAGAATTATGTCCTTATTCTGGTTACTTCATGATTCACCAACAGGGCGGTTGTATTTGTGAAGTTGTTTTTTATAGCTTTTTTATCTTCTTTATAAATTAAATTGTTTAAAACTGTAAAAAATATTTTGCTCCAACTCAAACAAAACCTAATATTAAAACTTGATTGGTTATCTTAAATCTACAGTGTAACAAAAAAGTCAAAGGGGAAGAAATGTGTCCAACACTTCTTCATAGCAGGGACTCATTTCCATCTCCTAGCGTAGCTCTGCTTTAGATTTTCATCTTTTATGCTTCGCTTCCCAAAGTCACACATGTTTCCTGTAAGTGTTTGGGATTAACTGTAGTTCACACAGTAGGAAGCACATTCTCATTCCACTGGGTTTCAGTTCAGTCACAATGGCTCATTTCCTGCTTCCTCTCTTCCAGGTGGACAAGAGCTGGTGAGGATGGACAGGTATGTTTTCCCACAGTCAGCTGATCACACAGAGCAGCGGCTAAACAAATCCTGGCCATGTTCCCACTCATCCACTCATTCCTTCACCATTTTGGTCCTTTCATGCTTGCGTCTTTTAGGCTTCCTACACAATTCAGTGTATTTATTTATTTATAGAGCTGCAACTAACGATTATTAATCTGTTAATATTTTTTTGGTTTAATCGATTAAGAATCGGATAGTCAAAGGTTCCTTAAAGAATATTATTCAATTCAATTCAGTTTATTTATATAGCGTCAATTCACAACACAAGTCATCTCAAGGCACTTTACAGTTCACCAGATCATCCAGTCAGATTGATTCAAAGTTTTCTATCTAAGGAAAACCAGTTGATTGCATCGACTCATTGACTCAAAGGCAATCCCTCACACTAACTGTGAGGTAACAGTCAAAGGTAAGTACACAAACACCCAATCAAATGTCAGAATCACTGAGGGACAAAATTAGTATAAACGTTGGAGCTTTT